GTTTGTTATATAGTAATAATAATAATAATTTGCTTTATTCCAGAAACAGCACTAGTGGTACAGTGTGGAATTTTCAGCACATATCTACAATATTTGCATCTAATTTTACAGACATTTAAAATAAGTAATAAACAAACAAAAAAAAATAAATCTGAAGACACCAACAGCAAAAAAAAACAAAAACAGGATAAACACAAAATAATTATAAATGCGAAAAAGTATCGCATGTATTCAGATGCCTATCAACTAAAGTAGTGATGAGCTGACTGAGTTTTACACCACTAGTCCTACTGACTACCTTCAACATCATTCTCAGGATGGCATAGTCCTTTTTCAGTAGACCAGGAAAGACTAACGGGGAGCAGTAAAGTAGTATAGGTAAGATACAAGAGTTGACAAATTGTGAAAGTAGAGGTTGATTGCAGATTGACTAAGTTTCTTAATGTAGTAGGTAAGACAGAACACTTTCTTAGAAGTCATTAGGATATAAGATGTCCAAGTAAGGTCGGAAGATAGAACTAGACCGAGGTATTCAGCATTAGACTTAGTTTTTCTTTTAGTCCCCTCAATGCAACAGGCTTCATGAGTACTTACTAGTGTTTGTAGATCTCGTTTATGCCTAAGGGAGAAGTCAATAGTCTGGCATTTCGAGGGATTCAGCATGAGACCATTTAGTTTGTACCACTCACTGATGTCCGACAGGAAGCTATTTAATTTGAGACGGTCTGACTGAGACTTAATGGGAAACGATACAGACAGGTCATCTGCATATTTGACGAAGTTGATTTCATCTGAGAGAGGTAAATCATGTAAGAAGAAGGAAAAAGTATTTAGTGATGTGACCAAGGTTCGAACACAATTTATTTTTTATTGCTCATAATCATATCAAGGCACTACTCATCACACAACTTTCTTGCTTCGTTCATGATCATTCCATTATTTCTCATCGCTTGACTTGATTCGTGGTAGTATTTTCTATATTTCCGGTATGAGTGATGGGTCATTCCTATTGCACGTGTTAGGTGTAGACTCGATGAACCAGACAGGATTCAGTATTCAACCTCTAACTGTCCCACTCTACTGTATGGTTGTGTGTTAATGCGTGCAGTGCAATGTAGTGCTGAGCTTTTTTCTAAATTACTTATCTTTGTGGAATCAATCGTTCTAACCTTAGCTAAGTTCTTATGTTACCACAATCTGATTACCCACGATCTACTAGTTTGACCTATTTGGTTGACCTCACAGTCACTGCAGGGTATTTCGTAAATGATATTATTTTGTTTTATTGAGTCCACCGGGTGTTTTAGCCTACAGAGCTTGACCTACCTGAGTGAGTTTGTAGGTCCACATGCCAATCTAATTCCTGCTTTATTAAGAATCCTACATAGGGTCCCAGATGTTCCCTTCTTGTATGGTATAACAGAAGATGACTTATATTCTCTCTTATTTATGTTATCATTACTAGTTTCACAATTATTTTGATTTTGATCTTTTGTGATCTTCCTAATGAATTTTATAGCATAGTTATGTGATACCAACGCTTCTTCTGTCTGTTTCATTTCGTCATTTAGCTCTTTTTTTGCTACTTAGTGCTACTGCTCGGTTTGTTAGACACTTAACTAAGCCTGCCTTCACAGACAGACAACAGATGAGATAAATTAAAGTCTAAGTATCTGTTAGAATGCGTTGGTTTTTATAAACGCTAGTGTGCCGTTTACCTTATTCTATTAGTTTTATTTTATAATCTAACATAGCTAATTCTCCTTGTTCATTTTCTGATTCAAATGTGAATTTTATTCCCTCTACTAGTGAATTTATATGTGTCAAGAAGCTAGAGATATGTTCTGCTTTTAACACTGTGACAGTGTCATCCCCATACCTCCACCATATATTTTGAGTAGGAATAAATGTATTTAGAGTAATATTTTCCCAGTTGTCCATAAATAAATCTGCTACGATAGGGGACAGTGGTGATTCCATTGCTACACCTTCTGTTGGTCTATATATTTTGCCTTGGAATTCAAAGATAGTAGATGTGAGGCATAACTGAATCCCTAAAATAATTTTCTCAATGGGCAGTTTCGTCCTATAAGTGAGTTCAGGATCTGCAGTTAGTTCTTTTTTAACTGCTCCTAAGGCCATACTGATTGGTATATTGGTGTAAAGACTAGTCATATCAAAACGAACCATTGTTTCATCATTCTATACTTGAATGTCATTTAGTTTCATTTTCATTTCATATGAATTAGTTGGGCAGATTGTGGGAACATAAGAATTTAGCTAAGGTTAGAACGATTGATCCCATGAAGATAAGTAGTTTAGAGAAAAGCTCAGCATTACATTGCATTGCATGCAATAACACACAACCACACAATAGAGTGGGAGAGGGTTAAAATTCTAAGAAGTAATCTGTGTAGGTGGAGGTAGAGAGAGGTTGATTACTGAATCCTGCCTGGTTTATCGAGTGTACACCCAACACGTGCAATAGGAATGACCCATCACTCATACCGGAAATATAGAAAATACTACTACTACCAACCAAATCAAGCGATGGAGATTAATGGAATGATCATAAACGAAGCAAGAATGTTGTGTGATGAATAGTACCTTGATATGATTATGAGCAGTAATTAATAAATTGTGTTCGAAACGTGGTCACATCAGTCAATATTACTGTATAACAAACACAGTGTGAGACTTTATCAAAACAAAATTTTACCCGCAATGAAATGCCAGATTCAGGGATGAAGAACAGACGGTTGAAAAATTATTACAATATCCAATTGTTCAAGATGGCTGACCGATAAAAATCAATTAAGGCGCCTAACTGTTATAATATAGTGGAAGATATCAGCAGAAATACTTTTTGAGAGGCCAATGATATGGCATCAATATATGTGTGGACTAAAACTAGCCTTAACCTCGCCTAGATTACTGGATCACTAGTTTTTTAGCCGGTCCCAATCCCGGATAAAGAGTGAGGATTGGGGCGTGGTGCTAGCATCTCCACACCCAAAACTTAGCCAAATTGCTACAGAAACTTCAACTCATAAATATACTAAAATTGCTAAAAATATAAACAATAACCTTATTTTTCGCTGGAATCGCGGAAGTGAAATGACGCAGGCTGGTGAAGGTCTTCGGGAAGCCAGTCAGCCAATTTGCCTTCTTTCGATGACAGCAAAAATAAGGATGGGTGCATGGAATATTCGTACAATGTACGAAGCTGGAAAGGCTGCTCAGGTAGCCACAGAAGTGAGAAGATATTTAATAGAAGTGTTGGGAATCTGCGAGAGCAGATGGAACGGATGTGAAAGGTGCCAACTATCAACTGGAGAGACAGTAATCTATTCCGGTCACCCAGAGGACAACCACGAGCACACCGAGGGAGTGGCCATCATGATGTCACCAAGAGCAGCAAAAGCTCTCATGCAGTGGGAACCAATCTCCTCCAGGATAATGACAGCTAGGTTCAACTCAGAAGGAAGAAAAGGTTACAGTCATTCAATGCTATGCGCCTACAAACGTCTCAGAACAAGAGATTAAGGAGGATTTCTACAGACAACTACAAACAGTAATGGACAACGTCCCAAATGGCGATATCACAATCCTGATGGGTGATATGAATGCGAAACTGAGAGGAGGCAATACAGGGAGATTGAACTCACGATGGGTCGTGAGGCCCTCGGTGAAATGAACGACAATGGTGAACTCTTCTCAGACTTCTGTGCCTTCAATGATTTGGTGATTGGTGGCAGTGTGTTCAAACACAGGGATATACACAAGGCGACATGGATTTCACAAGATGGACGGCGAGTGGGTTGTCCAAGGGTGATTTGTAGGAGTAGATCGTGTGAAGAGGAGTTGAGAGAGTATGGACTAACATGGATGCAGGTGAAAAGTACAGCAGAATACAGAAGCAATTGAAAACGTGCAGTTGAATTCCTACGTTGCACTAGGAACCCAAGGGGACAATAAATAAATAATAAAACAAGCCTTTGAAAATAAAAACTTTTAGTTGTTCAAATCTACTTCATACTTCTGAAGAGAAAAAATTCCAGCCATTTCATCTATAATCACATAAACACAACTAATAAAGTCTGTAAGGAACTTCATATTAGGGAACTACAATTGTTTTCCTTTCTTATAAGGATTAAAACAATTATTGACTAAGTAAGTATTAAGTGTTCCAATTCGACATAAATTTTGCAATTACTCAAATTATTCAAATTAACTCTGTCCTACTTATCATCTCTGTTTGCTTAACTAGCCAACCAAAGAATCGGCTAACCGAGGTATAATTCTCGCTAACACGACAGTCAGTATAAAACACAATAACATCAACAACAAAAAATCACTAAAGCGATGAACAGTTTACGCTTGATTTGCTCAAGTTTCCTTTTATGAATTTCCAATTCTGTAGTAGAAAACAAGAAGAGGAGTTAGAGTAGAGAAAGTAATTTTATATTTGAATAAGATGTGAGATTTTAAGATGAAAATTAAACAAAATTAAATGGAGAAAAAATGGTTAATCTATTCATTCAATAAGGAAACACACTGTTCCCATGATTTCTTAAAGAAATTCAGTAGTCAAATCATAACAAGGGGAGGAAGAAAGAAACGTCTGGTCCATCATTCAAACGAGATAATGTTTACTCAAAGTTTTTTTTTAATTACAGGTAAATAAATATTAAGCACTTTTTAAACAATATGTTTATATTCTGTTCAATTGTTCAATTGAATGCTGAATGTTTTAATGGAGTAATGAGTGTATGTTGTACATCTGAATTTGTATGAGCGCTAAATTTGACTCTGGTCATTTTTACTACTCTAACACTGATTGTAAGTAGTATATTTTTACAAGATTATTATTATTGCTACCACTCAACAGGTGGTCAGTTGATCGAATTCTCGAGGATATAATTGTTTATGCATCTTCTTTCATTGATACAAATTAAATAAGCTTTGCTATTTGAATTGACGGGTTTTTCCTCCCTAATTCAATTGGCTTTTATGCAGTCCAGTCTTTCTGGTATCCATACTTTAGCGATTAAAGTGTTTGTTGAATGTGATGTCGTATTTCGACTCCATGGTGGAGTATCACGATGCCAACTTAAACTATGGCCGAAAAGAATATGATCGTTTGAATGTTGGTATGCTTCACTCCAAACTGTTGGGCTATTCGATGATTCTTGTAAATATTTTGTACTATTGGGAAGTTCTTCATTTTTTCTGATTATCATCAATTCAAATACTAAAAGAGGAGAACAAATAGAAAACAAAATCTGAGGTTATGCAACCCGTTCCAGTGGAATCAAATGAGAATAAATAATGAGTTTGGTAGCATTAAAACTGGATTTCATCAGTATATAAATATATAAATATAAATATTCGCATAGTTGTTCACTAACTATAACAATCAGTAGTGCTTTCTAGCCAGCTAAATCTAGGTGATCTGAAGACCGAACAGCAGTTCTGTTAGTCTGAGGTCGAGATGATCAGCGTTGTGCGCAGTCTGACTCACCTCAGAGAGGCGAATCAGTTCAAATCACCCAATTTTTGACTAGCTGCTTTGTGGTGAGAGCTGGCTGCGTAGACAACAATCTACGTCAATGTTCACGTGCCGAATCGGGGTCGTGAGAAGAAAAGAATAACAAAACTTAACCTTGAGGAACTCGCCAATCAGTCACAGCTGACTTAACGTGTGGAAATACGATTCGCAGGTTTATGGCTTAACTTTCTAAGAAACGGTCACGAGCAGTACAAAATAACCTTCAGCAAGAAAACAATCAATCAGAAGAAGTTGCTTCACCGCTGACAATACTGTACATAAAAATCCATAAATATCTCTTGATTTTCTCAATAAATAATCTGTTGCCTGGCCGTTACCTTTTGTCGTTACAAATTGATATATACAGATAAACCTTTCATGGCCATGTTGTTCAAAAAGTAGTAAAACGAATACTCAATAAAGGCATCAGAAGAACTTATTATGCTGAAAAACTCGTGTTCATGAATACTACTAAATGGATGCTTCAACAGTTTGCGAAAGGGCAGCTGCAAATTCTTGATACTTCAAACTTCGCATACCAGTTTGAGTTTGTTGGTGGAAGCAAATGCATAGGTCGTACAAAAAGTCGATCGGTTGTAGGCAATCGGCCACAGGAAGCCTTGCCTGAATGACAGAGTTTTCATGCTAGTTGGCACTCACCAGTCAGTCAACAAGGAGTATTTGCAACCTTGAAGGAACTCATGTCTTTTCTGAGGAGATTCGAACCCGGGTCACCCAGTGGGCGCTGCAGTCACAGACGTTACCACCGACCTATTCGAGCTCGCGATTGCTTTATTGTAAGACTGTGAAATAATAGAGAGGATTTGTAGCTCAGGTGGACACCAGTCAGTAACTAGTATAATGTGTCTAGTCCTATCTAATACCAACAATTCACAGTGCGCCGTGATGGCGAGCCACATTGCAAACTTGACTGATAGAACTCACTCTGCACCAAAGATAGGACTGGCACACACACACATTACACTAGTTACTGACCAGTGTCCAATCAAAAGTCGATTATCTACTCGCATGATGGAGCATTTACCAAGGTGGTTAAAAATGACTGAAGTCAAAGTGCCTTAAAGTTCATTAACAAAGCATCTTTTGGACGAAGGACATGATATTGACGCGCTGTCAAGTAGTCATTCACTGTCGTTGTCGGCAGACAGAAAGATGCTTGCATTTGAGGAGGCTTGTGCAATTGGAGCCTATAAACCCGGTCTCTGTGTACATAAGGAAGTGGTGCTCACTTTGAATCTACCATGGTAATATGTTCTACTTATTAACTGCTAGTATTATTATTACTATTTTATTCTACCTCTTATAAGTACTACATCTGATTCATCTAAATCTATCTTATATCATTGCCATTATCTTAACTCATTCAAACATTATTATTATTGATTATTATCATTATTGATTTTTATTGCTGTTACTATTATTAGCATTACTATTCTTAAGAATATTATTTAGTTCCCAGTTCTTGATATATTCAAGTTCTTTGGCCCACTGATAACTCATTGTTTATTTAAGTCATATAACTGAGCCGTGTAATGCAATTTATCTTAATTTCATATACCTGTTTGTAGAGTATCATCAGCTGAAGAAGAGCAGTTCAGCCGAAATTTGATGAATTCATTAAATCCTGCTTTATTCTTGCTTTCTTGATAACCGTATATGGCATCCAGTAGATCACATATTGTCACCTCACTAACAACTGTTTACAAATTGCAGATCGCTAACCAGTTTGCAAATTGTTTCTCAGGAAATGGTATGATACATGGTAAATCCCATGTTAGTTGAGTTACAATCTTCTTTATTTTTCGCATATCTTTATTAAATTCACACAAAAGCTTTACCAAGAATGCCAGGGTTTCACAGACTTAGATAAAATTAGCTATAAAGGCTATTCTCCAAGTGAAATCTTAAATGAAGAGCCCCACACTAGGACGAGGGGAACAGCTGTCCAGTACTCCCAGGTAGTTTTCCAGTGGTTCTCTAACTGATGTCAGCTCTTGATGAAATCCTTCAACCAACCAATCAAACTTAATCTCTACAAAACCCATACTTGAAAATTAATCTGATGATCAGTAGTGACTGGCCTTAATCAGGCAGTGACCTGGGGTTCTAGTGAGAAGCCCATCGTAAAAGTGATTTTGAACTCATGAATAATTCCCACCAGGATGTTAATGAAAAAAGTAGGCAAATATCTCAGTGAAGAGACTGTTTTAAGCAGTTTCATTTCCCATAGCTTCACAGTCGCATTCTCATATAGTTTTTTTCAACAAAAGACGATGCTGACGAAAGAGATGAATTGCCACAAGCATATTTACAAAAAATAGTCAGTATATATGTGAGGGGAGTTAAATGAGAGTGATAGACTTACGTAATGAGATGAGTAATTTAATGAATGAATTGTGATTTGGATTATTATTATTTCCTTTAATTCCTAGAGGAACACAGGGCTTCAGCCGTGCGTCTCCACTGCGTTCCGTTCTCTGCTAGAGTCTTCACCTGGCTCCAAGTCTGCCCACACGTTTTCATCTCCTCTTCACATGACCTCCTCCAAGTCACCCTCGCTCTGACGACCAACTCGCCTCCTACCTTTCGCGTTCTACTCGAGGGCTTGTCTAGTGATGTCACTTGATGTTTTCGTAACAGCATGGCTAATCCACCTCCATTTCTTTCTGCCTATTTGTTTCACAATCTGTTCCTGGTTGGTTCGCTTCCATAGATCTCTGTTGCTGATCTTTTCTGACTGACCATCTGATCTTGAATATTGAGCGAAGACAGCTGTTGATTGAGGTCTGTAGTTTGTTTGAGATGCTCTTTATGACGCACTGGCCAAGTCTCTGATCCATCCGTATAGTAGCACTGATTTCACATTGGAGTTGAAAATCCGGATCTTATTTTTGATGCTGAGTGCTGTTGACTTCCACACAGACTTGAGAGTAGTGAAAGCTTGTCTTGCTTTTCCGATTCTTGCTTTGATATCCTCGTCAGTTCCGTTGGCCTGTAGTTGAAACGATGCTTCCAAGGTGGGTGAAAAAGGTTGTGATTTGGATACTCATAGAAAAAAGATAGTGTGATATTATGTAGGAGTTTGAAAGAGTAGAACAGCTAGAAAGAATTCAAAAATCAAGAAGCGGGTTTGTTTGGAAATAACCTAGCCACTATCATGATAGGAGAAGTTGTTGAAGAATCCTCTTTTGTTTTGTTCAGCTAAAGCTTCAGCAATGCAAAAGAGGTGAGAGCGTATTGTCTATAAATCACAAAACATACCCATTTATTCATAAGTAAAAACACAGTTTCTTTTTTGTTCAGCGAAGAAATTTCTTTTCAACGACTTCATTTTCAAGCTGTACTGTCATATTTGTATTACAGAAAAAGTTATTAAGTGGCACTAAATAATTGCTCAGTCAATATATATATATACATATATATATATATGATAAGAATAACGATGATTAAAATGTTATAAGGGGTAGAGTTGAAGTGGATAAATTACAAAATTATTAAAGATTTAGAACAACACATTTAAGCGAACAATATTGTTTTCAATTAGATCTCATCAGGCTTAGCTCTAATATATATAAGTTTACAAATAAAAATTTAAATATAAACCACCAATCATGGTGTTTTGTCTATAGGATAATACGATGGTGAATATAAATTGTGCAGTTAGTCATAATAGTAGTAATGATAATAATAATAATAATAGCAATAATAAAAATGGTCTTTTCAATAATAAGGATGAAAAAGTGAGGCAATCTGTGATAACACAAATAATGAAAAGCAGCATTATTAAACAAACAAATGTTCAGGTGGAAGTAGTCGATAAAGGCTAGTAAAAACAAATGAACCGATTAAGTAATATTAGATTGAAACACGTTTATAATGAAGATAAGATTAAGGGATGATAAGAAAAGGGTTGAAAATATAAACAAAGGGTGGTGTAGAAGTCATTAGTTGGTTATGTCTTAATAGGCCAAGCAACGGAGGGATAATGGCTGTACGAACTTTTTTTGAATACATAGTTTAGGTTTAATAGTTCGAATGCCTATCGCCTCAGCTGTGTGCAGTAAACGAATACGAAGTCTATTGGAAAGATTCGGTGGGATACGATGAATCACTTTGAAGGCTCTCGTTTTCTCGATTACATGACCACTATCAATGAAGTGTGACAAAATTGAGCTACGGATTGTTTTTGTCTGTCCTTTGCCAAACCACGATAAGAGATGTTCACTAACACATTGGTTGGCTAAGCTGTCTAGCAGTAATACGCCCAACATTACTGTCACCGCAGGTGCAGTTGAATTGATAAATGCACATAGATGTGGCAAAACTATCAAGCTTATCCTTCGTTTGCGTCGCAATCATTCGTCGGCTAGAGAATGACAAACATAGGTGTGCTGCGTAAAATGTTCTTCGTATACTCCTTGAAAGTCGTTGGAATAGAATCTCACTTGATAAGTCACCATTAAATTGTATCCTAATAAATAGAGGTTTCTTACGTACACTCAGAGTCTCTGGTTATTTCTCCGATGTTTTCATATGTTTCTTTATGAAACTACTCGGATAGCCCATCTCCATCAAGGAATCGTGAATATATTCAAATTCCTTTTGTAAGAGGTCCTCCGTACACATCTTTCTTGCTCTGCTCGCAAGACATTTTATAAATGAATTGATATCAAAAATCTTT